TTGATTGAAGGAAATCAAATAAACGAAGAAATCAAACAAGATACAATTGATCCTTAATTCGAGAGGAGGATCTTCTCTCCCAACCCGCAGATGAAATCTAGGGCCCAATACTCCAAAACAAGAACTCCCAAAACCAGCCACAAAACATGCATAAACCTAACCCTAAACCACTCATACTATTTAATACATTAATTCCCTAATTCAATTCTTAATTCAAACTTCCCTCCCATGCCTAGCTGCCCCCCTATTTCTCTAATTGGCTCCTAGTGGGGCCCATTTGATTGGGCGACAATAGCAGGAAAGGAGGCGGCATTAGTCTGCCTCCTGTAAACGAGAGCCGGCCCTTGGGCTGGCTGGGCCGATTCATGCTGAACTGGCATAACATTTGATTACTCGTCATAAGAATAATATCAATAAATAATTCATAAAGGGTTGCATTTTAAGATTCCACGATTGATATATCAATTATAATAAAAAATGCTTGCTCCATTTCACATTTATTCATAGTTTCAATCTTTATTAGTTTATGTTCAACTATGATCCCATGCTAATTTTACTTTAAAATAATTTTAGACATATGTTCATGTTCATGAACATAGTCTAACGTGATTGCAGATTCAGATTCATATGTAGTCATATATATTCATATTGTAACTGCTGATCTTCTATTGTTTTTAATATATTCTTAAAAGAATACTCATGCACTATATTTTCTTCAACGACATCAGATTTCACCATACTTGATTTTTATATTGGTGTGTGTTTGACATGCTTCAGAGGAGATGATATTAATTTTTCTTTGGGGATATTGATAATGGTACTGATCTTTACCTTGTTTTACTTTAGGATGCATACAGGTTGCAGTTGAAGCTGTTTCTGTATGAAGTGAAGCAACAGCAACTTCTTGCTGGCGTTCGCAATTACCTGAAATTGTACTCGACCATATCTATTGCAAAGCTTGCTACCTATATGGAAGTGGATGAAGCTACTTTGAGGTTTTTTTTTTTTTTTTTTTTTTTTTTTGCTTCTGGATTGACAGTAACTCTTTTGACATCTGTGAAGTTCCCTTCAAACATAAATTATTTCTTGATATGATTTCAAATTTGTGTTATGATGTCGGGATCAATCATATAAGATATTTAATATCACGCTTAGTCCTTGCAATTGTGTTATTAGTTAAGGCTTCATGCAACCTTCTGATTTGTGTTTGTCAATTAATTAATTCTGCTGATGGTTCTTCTAACAATTTTTTTAAAAATCTTACAGGACTATTTTAATGACATACAAACATAAAATGCATGCTGTTGATAGTGATGGAAAGATCATCTGCAATTCTGATTTGGATTTCCACATTATTGATGTAAGTTCTCTTTTTGAATTCAAGCTTCCAGAAGTAACAAATCCTTTGATGTTCCATATGGAAAAGTTGTGAAAAATATTTAGATCTCTGTTATCTTTCAGTTGATATTAGAATTGTTGATAATTATGGTCTAACGTTTTGATCGTATTATTATTAATATGAATGTATTAAACTATTGACCATAATATTAGCAAGATTTTAAGATGAACTATATTCATCAAATAGACAAATACATGATCTAATGATTGGTTTGGTACTGAAATTGATTTTTACAAATTTGAGCTTTTATATTTTGAAAGAGTTGAGACCCAAAACGCCCCTTTGGTTTGTAAAGGGCAATACAACTGGTCACTGATCTTGCGATCCATTTTAACAAATACTTTTGGAAACGTGCACATTTTTTGTTCCCTTTGTAAACATTTCTATTGAAGTTCTTTGCTTTTGTTTTCATTCTACTTTATCTGATAGTTCGTTGAATGCAGGACATTATTCATGTTATTGACCCAAAGGCACGAAAGTTGCATGGCGATTACTTTTTGCGTCAAATCTTAAAGGTTAGTAGAAACCTCACCATTGCTTTCCCTGGTTTCCATAGTAGTTGTACTTCATGGGAAAAAATTGGTATATGATATTCTGATTAAATTTTAGAAGAATTGATTTTAAAATCATTGAATTTATTTTGAAATGAGTATAATATAGTAATTGATTGATTGTTCATATATAACACATGATAAAACAATTTCAATAATTTTAAATTCATCTCTTTGACATGGCAGAAATCTGCAGGTTTAGGATTGCCCGGCTAACTTCTAGTGAGGATTGATTTTAAAATCATTGAATTTGTTTTGATAGAACTATGATATAATAATTGATTACATGTATCTTAAAGTAAATCTAATATTTGTCAAATACATTTGACATGGCATAAATCTGCATAAGGCGCTAGAATATCTGGACCAAATTTCAGTAATGACTGATTTTAAAATCATTAGATTTGAAATAGATGTGAATATTATTAGTAGAATTCAAGTTGGATGGTTGAAGTAGAGGAATGCATTGGACTTATTGTGTGATAGAAAAGTTCCCCTCAAACTTAAGGGAAAATTCTATAAGAAGGTGTTTAGACTTGCACTGCCTTATGGTGCATAATGTTGTCCATTAAAAGAGAAGCATAATAATAAGTTAAGTGTTGCAGAGATGAGGATGCTCCAGTGGATGAGTGGCTTTACTCTTTTAGAGACAGGATAAGAAATGAGCATATACGTGAAAAGGTTGGAGTAGCTCCAGTGGAAGATAAAATTAGAGAGTCGTCTTTTAGATGGTTTGGTCACATAAAACGGCGGTCTTCTGATGACCCAGTTAGGAAAGTAGATATATTAGATTTGACTTATGTTAATAAGGATAGATGTAGACCTAAAAGACTTGGTTTGAAAATATTAGAAATGATCTTTTTTTATTAGGTTTAAGTGAAAATTTAACTTTTAACATGTCACAATGGAGAAAAATGATTCATATAGCCGACCCCACATAGTGGGATGAAGGCTTGATGTTGTTGTTGTAGATTTGTTTTTAAATAAGTGCAAATATAATATAATTGATTTATTAGTGACATATAGCACTCATCTTAAAATAAATTCAAACGTTATTGTAATGCATTCCTTTGAATGGCAGAAATCTGCATGAGCCAAACCAAAACTATTCCTAATTTAGTTACTCGCCTCTTTTGATGAGTTGCAGTTTGAGGAGATCATTGCTGAATTGGACAGAGTAAAGCTGGACTAGGTTTGCTAGAGGTTTCTGGAGTTCCTGCTGGTAGAAATGATGCTAAATTATTCCTTAGCTGTTCAATGATGGCAAGTTCTTGCCTTTAGCAATTTCATCGGTACAATTTTTTTTTTTGCTTCTATGTTTTGCATTCGGCTGTAGTGATATAAAGTCCAAATCAATTTGATTTTTTAGTCTTTATTTACATCAGAGAATTCACCTTATAAATCTACTTTTCACAAGCTGACACTTTTAGGCTTCGTTTGAGACGTTTTTTTTTTATTGTTTCTTAAATTTTTTATAAAAAATTCTGTTTTAGAAAGCAATAAAAAAATCGTACCAAACGAAGCCTTACACTTTCTAATTAATGAGTTTGGCATGCTATAGTGAGTCTTGGACCATTGATTAATGAGGACATTGGCTTAAATAGATGCAAACTATGTAGTAAATTATTGATAAATTTACAAAATTATAATTATTATTTAACAAGTAAATTAATAAAATTGGGTTTTGAAACACATTGAGATTTTCTAAATCAACTTTAAATTTGAAATTCAGAAGAAAGTTAATGCTTGATTTTTTTTTTTAAACCGTTGAGAAATATGTGAAGGTGTTATAAAATTTAAAATTTTGACTTCTTTGTAGAAATTAATTACACCCAGTACACTTACATGTATCTTGTAACTTCATCATTTGAAAATTCCATAGTAGTATGCTATATTGACGAGGGCATTCATCTTCAAAAGAACTTTTTTGAGGAAAATTCTGTTTGCTGGAAGAAATATTTGAACTTGATTTGAGCTTAGAGCTTTGGTTGTTCTTGGCTCAAGTTAATTTAATTTTAATATAATTTTATTCAAGTCAGTTAGTCTTTCATAAGCTCAAATCAAGTTCTGAGCCAAGAGAAGAACCATTACCAAGAGCAACTGATAAGGATAATAATGCACCATTCTTTCACAATAACACAATAATAATACAAAATTATTTTGGGCGGATGTTGGACAACATTTATAGATCAATCAGAACGCTTAATGTCATTTTTTTTCGCTTAATACCGGTGCTTGATATTGCCATATACTCGATGATTGATCTCAATCATTCGGTGTCCGTACAGAATAATTTTTCCCGTAACCTTGAGGTGAAAAAAAAAGGAAAAATGCTCCCAAATTTAGTACAACTACTCTTATGTTTTGGCATTTAATTAGTCCAATGCAATATCTTGTGGAGAATGAATTTGAAAACTACTTCCTGCTACAAAATATTTCCCAAATTTTATTAAGTGTCAAGAGAAATTATCATTTATTTCTCCTAAACTAAACTAATTATATGCAGACCCTTAAAATCAAACAAAATATTGAATACTTTTACTTTTTCAACCAAATTTGATGATAAAATGGGTTTTCTAATTAAGATTATATTTAATGATTTGCCAGATAAAATATAAATTCTATGCTAAATGTTAAAAAAACTTCTTTGACTTTTTTACATTTTATATCATAAATATATAATCTCTATTATTATATTTCTTTAAAGGTAAAAGAGGTGTCATATTAAAAGAAAACTAATGTATGATCAAAACGATAAAACTATTAGGATAAAAGTGAAATTATTAAAAAAAAAATTTAATGCAGAAAATAAAATTATATATTATTAAAAATTCAAATAAAACAAAAAAGAAAAACTTCCCTAAACAAGCCTTTTTTCTTTTCAAAATGCTATTCAACTATTTTGCTTTTTAGAAAAATACCAGCAAATGACCATTCTGAAATTGCAGCAGAGGAGAACACTATGATGATGGAGCATATCAGTTGCAAAAAATTAATAGTACTCCATAAATATATTTTTTATGTTCATGAAATCATACAGAAACTGCAAGTGGAAGACAAGAAATTTCAATATATATTTTCCCAAAACAAAGCTGGAGAAAAAGAGTACCAAATCAGATAAATGTTTCACATAACTTAAATGGTGCTGCGAACCAAGAAATGGAGCTTAGACATAAACAACAAATACAAGGAATGCAAACAAAGCTTCTGTTTCACTTGACCTTAGTGGTGCTGTGAACAGAAGATCCATAGACAACAAATAGATGAAGAAGAACAAAGCTTCTGGAAGTAGGAAATAGAATCACAATTAATTTACTTGATGTGTGGAGTACAATATTACACATCACTTTGATGATGATCTTCTTCCACAGGGGCCCAATTAGCAGATTGAAAAACTAAAACTTGAGAGACAGATGCAGCTGGGAACTTCCACGGGGAAAAGATCTGAAAATAATTCAACAGTAGCAAAGTGATTGTTTACTCCAATTTGAAAAATAATCCGGCTATCGGCAACCGCGAAGAAGATGAGAGGTTTTCGAGGTCTGGCTATTGATATGTGAACTACCAGAAAGAGGCTTCACTTTCGTACTCTTAGTTTTCTCATGAGGTGTAGTGCATCCACTGAAATCAAGAACACGCCCTTCAGCCTGCGTTGGCATTAAATTGATACCATAAATGGTAATGTAAAAATATATGCACTAATAGTTTCAATTGAAAGCAACAGATACTTTCATTATAGATACCAACAACTATAGTTGCATTGTAGACTGAAGAAGAAACAGGCAATCATGTTCTCAAATTGCTACAGTTCCCCACAAATTTTTTTTTAATGGTATCATAAAAATGTAACCACTGAGTCCACTTCAGAGCAACATATAGTTTCCATGATATATATATGCTCTGAAACATATAGTTTCCATGATATATATATGCTCTGAAATTGCTACAGGCACTGAAGAAAAATACACAAAATACTACAAAAATATAACAAGTGATTGCTTCTCTTTAAAGTAACATATAGTTTCACGATAAATATAGTCTCATGTTCTCAAAATGCAACAGTTGATGAAGAGGGGAAAAAACCTCATTTGAAAGTTAAAAAAAAAAGGTACTCAGATAGAAGCAACATCTAGTTTGGTGATATAAATACCTATAACTATAGCTGCATTGTTGATAATGAAGTTATTGAAATTACTACAGTTACTGAAAATATAAAATTCATGACAATGTAAGAATATGGTCATTCATTCCTTGACCTAAAGTCCACAGTTTCATATATATATATATATATATATATATACACACTAACTCAAAAAAAAAAAAATCACTAACACTAGTTTCATTATAATTTTATGCAAATATACAAACTATGGTTGCATTGTTTAATTATGGAGAGGCAATAATAATTTTAACCAAAAAAATAATACCAAAAAAACTCATAGTACTAAGAAGTAACATATAGTTTCATGATATATATATTTTTTATTCATTTATCTTTCAATAAATATAGTTTCATGATATATATGCTAACAAATATAGTTTCATTGTTGATTATAAAGGGAAAGTATGCAGCCATGTTTCAAATTGCTGCAACAGGACAACAACAGCAAGTTTGTATCTGCAGCACTGATTTTTTTTTTTTTTTATTGAAAAAAGCAGCATTATGTTTCACGATATATAAACCAAAAACTACAATTGCAATTGTTGATTATGAGGAGAAACGGGAACTCATGTTCTGAAATTGTTGTTAAATATAAAACTAATTACTTCATTTAAAAGCAACACATAGTGTCGTCTAAGAAAGGATGACACAAATTTTAATACTTATTTTAGATATTAATTGTTATATGATACATTTTTATATTATTTTAGATAATTAAATCGTCGTTTTCTACATATTAATTGTTTGAGGTTATTTTGAAGGAATAAAATTGATAAATTATTGTGTTGTTTTAATAAGATGGTAATTTGTGATTATTAATGCTCATGGTACATTTAACAAATAATTAGTTTAATTGATTAAAAAATTTAGAACAATAATTAAAGGTCTACTAATTTTAAAGTGATCAATAATTATAATTAATTTTGGGATTAATTTAAGCCTTTTAATAATAAGTAGAAAGAAATCTCTTTCCAATTTGATTATTTATATTACTATTTATTGAATTAATTAATTAATTATATGTTATAAGATATTAAAGAGCCTCATTTTAAAATCAAAATTTCACCTTATGCACGACTTTAATAATGGAAGATATTATCTTTTATTATTTAAACCTTCTAATAGTCAGAGAAAAATGGATATATGGATTATATCAGATATTTGATAATTTGATGATTTGATTTGACCTTATTTTTATGATATCATTTAAATGAAAAAAATATATTTTATAATTTAAGAATATAAATAAAAATGGAGAGGGGCACTATTTTGAAATAGAGCTCTTTTATTATTTTGGAGTTTTGTAGGAATTTTTTTTAACTTTTTGTGGATTAATAATATGCATATATTTAGACAGATACGATTTCACATTATTTTTATAAAAACAACAACAACAACATCAAGCCATTATCCTACTACATGGGGTCGACTACATGAATCATTTTCTCTATTGTGTCATATTAAGAGTCAAATTCTCATTTAAATCTAATAAAAAAAATATCATTTCTAATATTTTCTAACCAAGTTTTTTTAGGTTTATCTAAACCATTCTTAACATAGGCTAAATCTAATACATCTACTCTCCTAATCGAGTCATAAGAAGACACGTTTTATGTGATCAATCCATCTAATGCAACTCTCTCTAATCTTATCTGTCACTAGAGCTACTCCAACATTTTCATGTATATGCTCGTTTCGCATTCTATCTCTAAGAGTAAAGCCACCAATCCACCTGAGCATCCTCATCTCTACAACACTTAATTGTATGTTTCTCTTTAAATAGCTACAATTCTATTCCACAAAGCATAGTAGGTCTCATCACCATCTTACAAAAATTTTCCTTAAGTTTGAGGGGTACTTTCCTATCACACAATAGACCTGATGCATTCCTCCACTTCAACCAATCCAACTTGAATTCTACTAATAATATCCTTATCTATTTCACCATCACTCTGGATAATAAACTCGAGATATCTAAAATGACTACTCTTATTAATGACTTAATCGCCCAAGTCACAACCCCCCCTCCCTCCCCCCCCCAACTAAATCTATTGCTAATAAAATTATACTTAATGTATTCAGTTTGAGATATACTCAAACGAAAACCTTTGAACTCTAAGGTTGAACTTCATAATTTAAGTTTACCTTCAATGCTTTCTTGTATTATCAACAAGAAGAATACCATCAACAAAAAACATACACCAAGGTACATCCTCCTGCAAATGTCTAATAAGAACATCCATAATGATTAAGGTAAAAAGATATGGGCTTAAAGCTAATCCTTGATGTAATCCAACTAAAATAGGAAAATACTTGGTCCAACCTCATTGTGTTTGAACACAAGTAACAACTCCTGCATACATATCATTAATGACTTAAGTATAAGCATTACTAAAACTCTCCATAGAACTCTTGGAACTTCATCATAAGCTTTCTCTAAATTAATAATATTATATGTAGATCCTTATTATTCTCCCTATACTTCTCCTTCAAACCTATCAATATAGCTTCCCCTACAAATGTAGGCAGGGGGGAAATGGGAAGGGGGGGGGGGGGGGGAATCATGAGCCTAATTTTTGGGCTGCTGGTGGTTCTCGGTTTGGGCTTGGCTGTCCGGTTATTTTCCATTTTAACAGTTAGGACTTGTCGGATTACTAAAAGTTGTTCACCTTCATTGCTCTCTACATCAACCTTTTCCAACTCGATTTCAACCAGCGAAGAATTTGATGTAGGCAAATTGGGGGGGGGGGGGTCAAATCATGAGCCTAATTTTTGGGCTACTGGTGGTTCTCAGTTTGGGCTTGGCTATCCAGTTTTTGTTGTTTTTTTTTGGTGAGTTGCTGAATTCTCTACTTACTTCAGCTCATTAATGCTTGTAGTTCTCTTCCTTTTTAGCTCATTATAAGGAATGAATGTGGTTCATTCCCCCTTTCTCCCCACTTCCCTTGGCCCTTCGGTTTCCTCCATCTGGCTCCTTTTCCCATGGCTGGTTCCTTCACCCTTGGCTGCCTATTCCGGTTCCCTGTGGTGCCCGTTCCTATCTCCTTTGGTTGCCTTTCCGGTTCCCTGTGTGGCTCTTCGGGAGCTGCTTCTAGATAGCTCCTTAGCCTTCTGTTTTCCCCTGTTTTGATTGGCTCAGTTGGAAGTGGTTTTGGGTTGTTTGGCTACCCCGTTTCTCCTATAAATATATGATGCTTAGAGAAAAAAGAGGAGGTTATGACATAATTTTTTCTTCTTGAAAAAGCTTGCAAGCTTATTCCATTCTTTTTCTTCTTCTTGGGAAAGCTTGCGAGCTTGTCCTCTCCTTCGTCTCGACTTCTTACCTCTTTCTTCTCTCTGCAAGTTCCACTCCACTTGTATCTTTCTTCTCGATGACTTGACAAGCTTCTTTAGGTGTTGTTTTAAGTGTTTCAAGCTATTATTCAATGTATTAGTTTTATTTCATAAGCTTGTAATGTCATGTTATGTTTAAAGTGTTGTTTGTCCTTTTATTTCAAGTTATAAGGGGTGTAATTGTTTCCTTTTTGTGACCGTCTCTTACTTATTTTGGGAACTTTTGGTTGCATCACCTACCCGACATGAATCCAAAATGATTTTGAGAAACGTTAGTATCACGTTGTAACCTATGCTCAATAACTCTCTATCAATGTTTTAAAGTATGGCATATTAACTTAATTCTTCTATAATTCGAACACTCTTATGCATCACCTTTATTCTTAAAAATAGGAATCAACACTCATTTTCCACTCATCTGACATCTTTTTATTCTTCATAATAATATTGAAAAGTTTCGTAAGCCAAAAAAATTCCTTCTCCTAAGAATTTCCACACCTCTATTGACCTTCTTCTCCTAAGAATTTTTGCACCTTTATTGGAATATCTTCAGCTCCAACATCTTTTCCACACTTTATTTTCTTTAAAGTCTCTCTGACTTCGATTTTACTAATATGTCGATAAAAACAAAAATCTTTATTTTCATTTAGGATGCTAAGGTCACTAAAGTCAATCGTATTATTACAATCTTCACTATTTTCACATTCTTTTTATGATAAAATTAAATAAAATATTTTCTTTTTCATTTAAGTGATGAAAACAAATAAATTTTAGAGAGTGTTTTAGAGTTTTTGAAGGAAACTTTATTTCTTTGTCACTTAATAATATGTATATTATTTAGTCACAATAAGAGAAAATTCCCTCCAAAACTTTATGATAAAAAAGAGAGTTTCATTTTAAAATAGTCCTAGGAAATTAACACTTTTTATCCTATCAAAGTATAAAAAGAGTAAAGTCATATCCATCCAATCATAATATATATATATATATATATATTAATTTCTATATCCTATTAAATACTTATCTTAATTAACTTAATGAATTGACTTCTATTTCCTAATTATCATAAAATTTTTAACAAAAATTAAAATTTTTTAGATATATAGGGATAAAAAGAGATCATAAACTTTGACATAAGTTGTGGGAGCCAAATTCAATATGAACTTGTTAAATCCATTTAATATATTTAATTTAATCTATGTATTATATAGTCTTCTTTCTTTTTTCCTGATATCTATAAAAAATCCATTTGATCTAATTTAAATTAATCTGAAACAAACAGTATTTTACTTATTGATCAGATTTTAAGTATTCTAATTTTTAGACTGATAAGTTTAAGACTATGGTTTTTATACTGATCTTATTAGGCTTAAAAAATGATTGGCACTCATTTCCTTTGTCCCTTAAAGTTCCTTTAAAACCTTATAATCATTAGGAAAGAGAAGATAGTTATTTATACTAATTAAGATTATTGGATGGATGCGACTTTACTCTTTTTATGATTTTAAAAGAGTTGAAAGTGTAAGAAAATTTGAGAGAGACCTCATTTCATAATGGAGCTCTTTTATTATCCTGGAGTTTTTGAGGAAAATTTCTTTCCTGTTGTGACTTTATATTATGCATATAGATAAAGAAGCAGGCAATCATGTCCTGACTGATTAAGGATGCTGAGAACAAGAAAAACAGTTCACTAGAGAGTGAAAGATTATTACCAAAACATTTGAAGGAATGGGAATAAGGTTTTCCTGTTCTTTTGAAGAGTCTCCATTTCCTTGTGGGGAATTATTGGATAGAACATTGTCAAAATTCAACTTTTGTCCCCCATTGGATAATACCTCTTGAGCCTCAGCTATTACACCAGCATTTTGCTCGCTTAATTGCTTCATAAGACCAAGGGCATCATAGGTTCTTTCACCAGGGCTCATAAAGTATCTCATGTCCTGAAAATCCAACTAATATGAATAAGTAAATGTTTAACAAAAGCTAAAAGTGATTTGTGAGGTTTTCATCATTGTATTACCAAGTTACATTAACTATTAAAAAACCATACTGACTTTTTTTTATTCCATAGGAATATTATATACTATGAATCATAAGCATGATCACAAGATACATATATAGTGCAATACGGACACAATAATAATATTACATAATATAAAAGTAAGAAACAACATGTCACGCACAAATATTTTTATAAACTATTAAACTATAATATATAATAAAAACACCTAATGCCAATCTTTTCCATAAAAAAATATCGTAAAATATAATAGAATATGATGTGTATCAGATAAAAAGCTAAAGGATCAACAAAGGAAAAACTAACATTAGTTTAAATATAAAAAACTTAAATCTAGAAAAAAAAAATAAACATTGATTTAATTACAAAAATATTTTTATCAAGTGTGCCTTATTGTCAATAAAACACTGACATTAGCATTAATAATTAGATATGAATTTGTCAATATCACTGTCCACAGAAAATACCAAAAAAAAAAAAAAAAACAAGAGCACATAACCTTTAACCTAAATAGGAAAAAATCAGCTAAACAGAAAATAGCATGCACGAGTCTCATTTATGTGAATCTAATTTTGGGGAACAAAAACATCAAACACAATTTACAACATGCAGACATGTATAGAGGTATTAGAGGCTCATGCAGGTTCAACACATTCCACATAGAATGCTTTTTGAAATGATCGTGCTTCTTAAAATATTGAATTTTTGAGTAGTGAAGAGCATCAGGGAAGGAAAAAAAAGAAAAGTTGGAAAAAGGAACCCAAAACAAAAAAAGAACAGTTGAGCTACCTCGTATGTAAAATCTGCTCCTGTAAGAAATGAGTTCAAGAACAAGGGTGACTTCCATGATGAAGGAGACTCTAACCCTCTTTTGATTCCAGGAGTATCAGCAAAGCTAAAAGGGCAAAAATAAAACAAAATTATATGAGTAAAGAGAAAGGTCCAAAACATTCGTAGAAAAGGAACAAACTTATATTCTTAAAAAATTACAGAAGGGTCATTTAACAACAAAAGTTTAACTTCAGATCATTTCTATATGGCGTATTTGGCATTGTGACATCAAAACTAAATTTTCAAATCATGTTTCGAAGGCCAAAGTTTCAAATCATGGAATCAACCCCTCCAATAAATATCTACTATCTCAAACTTTAGACACTCGTGACTTCAATTAATAGAAGATGTCAAAATAAACCGCAGAAGGGAATCAAAGATGTTTACTAAATTTTGACACTCATGGCTTCAATTAATAGAAGAGGTCAAAAGAAAACACGTAAGGCAAGCAAAGATTAACAACAAATGATTAAGCCTGAACGAATATGATAAAATACCATAGGTATTTTAAAATTTGTAGCAAGTCAATTAATAAACAGAGGCCAAAAGAAACAATCAGACAATAGCTACTCCTTCATAACTTACATATTAAAAATTTCGTAGTCAGCATCAATGGATGGAGTGAACTTCTCAACTGCAATTTGTGGTTTCTTTGATGATGGTGGATATTGCAAAGATGTAACCGTAATAGAACAGTCCACATGTTTGGTTCCACAAGCAGTGGGCGAAATAAAGGTAGAGCAACCAGATAGGCATTCCAAATTAGTAGTATTACGCTCCACCAATACTGCGTTACATTGCTGCAAGAAAACCATGGAATGTGCAACATCCAGTAACAAAGAAAAAAGATAGACAATTGATAACCCATAAATAGTACAGAAAATTGACAATAATCTAAAAACAAACAAGAAATGATTTCTTCAAGTAGAGAACAAAGGAGAAACTCTTATCTACATGAACATGATTTCGTATAACCATCACAAATTTTCTCTAGAAAAAATTTCTTTTGTACTTTATTATGCATGCAAGTATTACATCATGCATGCAATGCCAATTAAGATAAACGGTAGAGGGAAATAAAGGAGCATGTTGATGGAGAACAAAAAAATATGGCGCAAACTTAAAAGAACTTTCAGATTTTGCCAAGTTACTAGGCACTTTTCATATTAGTGTAGTAATATTGTTTCATCACACTGCAGCAAGAAAATATCTAAAGGGAAGGTATAAAGATAACTGAGAAGACATCTCACTTTTGATGACTGCTGAAAAACTGGAACCGCTTGAAGCTAGCATGGGTGGATATTGTTTCATCACACTGCAGCAAGAAAATATCTAAAGGGAAGGTATAAAGATAACAGAGAAGACATCTCACTTTTGATGACTGCTGAAAAACTGGAACCGCTTGAAGCTAGCATGGGTGGATGGACGAGTTGAATTTAATTGATTCATTTAAAGCTATCAATCTTCAAGACTCAAGATTTAAAATCTTAGAACTAGAAAAAAATAATGCTGCAACCAAGGTTGCAGTTAAAAAGAGCTGCACGTGAAGGAAATAGAAAATCACAAAAAAAAAAAAATAAAAAATAAAAAAAATAAAAAAAATAAAAAAAACAACATGTAATTTTTAAGTGGAAATAAATAAGGTTTAATATTTAAGATTGCAAGCCCGATCGAAGGTTCATCTATGAAAAAAATGTAAAGAGAAATTTGATGACCTTGACATGGAAAATTATAAGGAGAGACCACCATCAACCAAATACAAATAATATAGATGGTTAAAAGATTGATTTATTATAGAGAGAATGATGATAACAATTTAAAAGAAAACCTAACAAAGGAGATCCGTCTAGTTCAAAAATTCAATGGAATCTCAATGCTAAAGACTTAATACAATTCAATGAAAAATTTTAATGCTATAAACTTTTTATAATATTGGAGAGTATTTCTGCAATATAATTTTTAAATCAAGGCGATTTTCAACATGAGGATAAGTTTTTAAATCAATGGATTCATGAAGGGACAACATCAAATATTTTTGTTAAAGCTTGAGGATAAGTTTTCCACATGAGGAGAACAATGGAGAATAACAATTATGGTGCAGAATTGAAAATATTAATTATTTTTGATAAGATTAGTTTGTATCACTGTAGCAGTTCATGTGACTGCAGCAGAATTAAAAAGGTTTGTGTCATTTAATTGTTCTTTTGTCTTACTGCTACATTAATTTTATAAATGAACCATAGACTACTTTAGAATAGAATCTACATTTCTAAAATTAAGATATGAGTAAAATGAATCAGGAACTTTCAGATTTGTAGTCGTCTTTGAAAAAGAAGACTTTGTTCTTCCATGTACATATTCCAAAATAAACTATGAGGGTGGGGCAACAAATATTTTTCCTCCATATAGATTCTAAGAAATCTCAACAAACGAGATCCTTTTAGTTCAAAAATTCAATAGAATCTTAATGCTGAAGATTCTTTTATCATATAGGAGAGGATTTCTGCAACACAATTTTTAAATCAAGCCGATCTTCAAAATTTTCAGATTTAAAGACCACTGGATTCATGGAAGACAACAGCGATTGATTTTGTCAAAGCTTGAAGATAAGTTTTTTCAAACGAGGAGAATATTAGAGAATAAAAATTATGCTTCAGAATTTGAAAAGATAATTTATTTTTGATAAGATATCTTTGTATCACTGTAGCAGTTCATGTGACTGAAGCAATGTATTAAAAAGGTTTGTGTCATTTGATTGTTTTGTAATATTATTGCCACATTAATTTTATAAATGATATACAGACTAATTTAGAGTAGAATCTCAATTTTTAAAATTAAGATATAGAGTACAATGAATCAGGAACTTTTAGATTTGTATCCGTCTTTGCAGAACTCAAGAAGATTTTCTTCTTCCATGTAGATATTCCAAGAACACTGTATGGGTAAGGGAACAAATATTTTTCCTCAAGAAGATTTTCTAAAATTAAGATATAAAGTACAATGAATCAGGAACTTTTAGATTTGTATCCCTCTTTGCAGAACTGAAGAAGGTTTTCTTCTTCCATGTAGATATTCCAAGAACACTGAGGGTGAGGCAACGAATATTATTCCTCAACAGAGTGATTTCAAAAATTCTCAAACTGATATCTCAAACCGTCCTACAAACACTCCCCCTGAAACACACACACACACACGCTTCAATACTATTCGTACTTGAAGCCTCATGAACTTCAAATTAAGGGAAATGGCCAGAAGCAATATAAAACTCACAAAAAAGGAATCAGCAGTATGTACATACGTGCTACTCTAGCAAATGCAGAGTATTTTTATCTAATGAAATAATATAAAAAATCTAACAAGTTCTAGAAAGCAATACTGAGTGAAATGGTGGCAGAAAAATAGGAACAAAAAATTTATTATTAGATATCAGTCATCAAAGAAACTTAAAAAAGCTTCAATATACTTGAAATTGAGCCAAAATCAAATACTTTAAATCAAACAAGAAATCTTTGAAAAGATAGTTTATGCTTTAAAGAACTTACAGGTTCTTTTGCGTCTGAATCAACAACAGATGACAATTTAGCTCCAGATCTACAGTCCTCACTATTCGGTTGAAACTTGCTAGCACTGGAGGATTTGCTAGCGGTACTTTTTTGAGTAAGTTTGGCACCCAGATTCTTATTTTGCTTAATAGTCTCACGTTTGTCCTTTAGATCAGACAAAGAATCACGAACATCATCTGCTAAAGATGAACAAATGTTCTCAGCATCAACTTCACCAATCATATATTCCATGCAGGCCTCATCCCCTTTTGTTAATGACGTAAAAAATGACCCTCTGTTCATGTCTGTACCAGATTTCTTATCAAATCTCCTTTCCTGCAAAGGAGACAATAGCTCACGCTGCCTTTTCTTCATGATAGATGGAGTGCATATGAAACTTTTGGCAGCATGCTTCAAAATGCCATCGGGACTATCATCACGAGAAGGAGAGTCCCATAAGTTGCATGATGCAGATGACATCATCAGCTGCCTGATGCCTAGTGGACTATAGGCTTGCTGAAGATCACTAGACACAATGTCACAACAAACAAATGGAAATTCCAAGCTCTGTATGCGTGGAGGTTCATAGAATAAAGATCCAGAATTAAAGAAATTTTCAGATTGATTATCTTTCATCTCATCTGGAGGAGAGACAGTTCCAGGTTCTAAATCTTTTTCAAACTCTACTTTCTCCTCACTAGCGAGAGAGAGATTCCTTGTAAGATTGTCACAACTACTTGTATATGTTTGTGTTTCCTCCTCTAACCTCTGTTTTTCTTCTAGCTGGACTTGTCGTTCATTTCCTTGGTCTATAGTCTCATGACTTGAAGGCATCACTTCAGGAACAGGAGGCATAGGGCAATCAGAAATAGGAACACCAATAAATGAGCCTGCAATAGATCCAGAATTTTGCAGCCTCCAAGATAAGTCTTGGATATCCACATTAGCACTAGGACAAATAAAAGATGGGGGAACATTCATCAAACTTTGACAAAAAGGAAGTCCATACATATTTGATGTATTCACTGGAAATACGGGGTATGAATATGGAGCAAAATTCATAGAAGCTCCAGGACTGTGAATAAAAGATTTACAACTCATTGCCGCAGCACAGTCAAGATTTTCCATACCCAAGGCTGTTACAGGATGCATCTGGAAAAGGTTTGGACTGCAGCCATTATTTAAAGAAATCCACGGTTTATCATTATTCTCAAATCCTAATCCAGCGTCAGAAGTAGAAGTCTCCAATGATGTTGGTTTATGGGGCATAGTATCTTTCTTCTCGTAGTTGTCATCATTAGAAGGCTTCCTAATTTCATTTCCAGATCCTTCAGCTTTTGGTAAAAAATTTCCAGGTGAAGCTACTTCAGAAAGCACTTCAGCACAGTGGAATTTAGAGGCACCAAATGTAGCTTCTTCAGCTGAACCATAATATTCACTGGAGCGAACTGGCAAATGTGAGTCCACCTCCTTTTTGATGGCCTCCTCCTGCTTGTGATCTCCATCCTCTGTAATTGGTTTTGCCATTTCACATTCGGATTGAGAAGAAGCTACCAAAGCCGAACTGCTACATTCAGAGGAATCTTCTATGTCAGATTTTTCTTTAAAGCCACTGTCATGATTCTTTTGCCGGATTCTTGCTGTAGTAGAGGAAACAACATTTGGTAATCCTGGATACCTTTCAATCAGACCTTGAACCATGTATGATTCCAATTTTTTCTTCACTGAACTATTCCAGTGGTTTTTTATTGAATTGTCACTCCTGATGGTGTGGAAAGCAAAAATAATCAGAAGCAGCATGAGCAACAGATGTACATAGTCTAAAAAGGAATTTGAAAGTAAAAATCCATTCAAAGAACTGCATAATAGAAATAAACCGTCAGTGAGAAAAAAAAAAAACAGAAACTGAAATGCATTTCCCAACCTTGAGATTGACAAAATCGAGTAATTGGACAACAGACACACAGAATTTCATCAAATAAAAATAAACTATAAATATAAAAACAAGTGGATGAGACTGCAAAAATGGATAGCTGAGTAGACTTAAGGAAATAAAAAGCATTTCCCATCCTTGAGATTGACAAAATCGAGGAACTGGAGAACTGACTGTATTTGTATTACATAAAAAACACATGTTGGGACATGCCAAGATGAGAGCAATGGAAAAACATGAGGTAAAAACATTTTTCATTGAATTTTCCAATAGTAGCAACTAAGAAAATAATACAATGATGTTGCTAGACGTTATACGATCTCCGTTCAACTGATGATTAATGAAGACATTTACATTTTAGAACATTTTGTATTAACTAAGAAATAGTTCTTTAAATCATTTCATTTTTATACAACGGTTATCATGTAATGAGTTCTTAAGGGTACTTTTGAATTCTACCAATTAACTCGTGCTAGGTAAATGATGACAACACAAATTTTGGCTCAGATTTTTTTGATAGAATTTTTTTAGGATAACTCAGATTTTGGCTCATTAATTCTTCCTTTTGTAGAAAATCAACACAATTTGTTTTGATGATTCTAAAGTAAATACTTTGAGGATTCAACATATTTAATTTGAGGATTTGTGCTAATATTCTTCAAGTCCCATCCTCATTGTAAATGAAGTAGGACAATTGGGGTCTGGATTTTCTGACCATGGAATGTATAAAATCATACAACAAAAACACAATTCACAAGCAAAATATTTTAAGTTTTAGCTACTATTCACTACTAGAGATGACAACTGAGATACGAAGGTAAATTAATTCAAATGAAAAAATTTAATGCTTTCTACTAAAAAAAAAAATTAGAACCAACAAATTCTCTTTCGTTGAAACTAAAATTGGATAAAAGATGAACAAAATTAAAAAAAAAGATATGGTAAAAAAATCTCCCGATATAGTAGTAGAAAAATAGATGCAGAAATAGGTAAGTTCTGCAAAATCACAAACGCTACAAAACGCAAAAGTTTTGAATAACACCAACAGAGCCCAAGATGATTATTAGAAGGCACAAAGGAAGTGATAAAATAAGGAGGGAAATAGAAGCTTTGTATCAATTTATCTTATCTCAACTATTCAGAGTTATTTTTACCTCACTTTTCATTCATTCCTGTAGAGTGTAGCTTAAGCTATTAAACATATTCTTTGTAAATCATTTAAACATTTTTATTTATTATACCATTAGGTATGCCTTTTTTATTTCTAATTCATTAACACTAATCAAATCTACCTATCTAATGGGTGCATTTTAAATGTTAAAAAGTATTAAAATATATATTTTTATTATATTTAAATGAGAATTTGACTCTTAATAGAACACAATGATGAAAAAAATTCATGCAGCTGAACCCATGAAGTTCGATAAAAGCTTTTGTTGTTTTCATCTAAGGGGTGCATTTTATGCCCTTCATAGTATATGTCAAAATCACATTGATATATTTTTAACTATCTTATCTTCATAGATGTCACAACAGTTAGTCCTCTAATAAATCCTTCTCCTTTATCTCTAAACTTTTTTGTTGAATCTACGATTTGGCTATATACACACTGCACAACTTGGTCTTAAAAAAAATTCTGCCTTGTTTTTGCACTTGCTTATCATCTTCCTAACTTTTTGAACTTTATTGCATCAAGTACCTAACATTTTGTTTCTCCTCCCACAAACTTTGTATGACCAAAGGCCACTAGACACTAAATAAAAGTCTAGGGTGGTCCCACTCTCCATTTGATGCCTCTCCAGTAATCTAAATATAAAATAAAAAGAATAAAGTGTTTTTTGCACTTGTCTCACTCCATTCTCCTTCTATCCTTCTCTCTCTACCACATAATCTCCTAAAAAATTATCAACCATCAACTAAAATTCTAAAAAACCTATGGAAAATTGAATTTAAATCCAAATTTAATGTTTAATACTCTTGTCCTTAGGGTTCTACCCAAAATTAGCCTAACCCAATTCTAATTCTCTTACAAAACAAAGGCTAGCATGAATGCAAGAAATAACTTGCCTCTACCACCTTTTCCCACACAGATTAATGCTTCTTTTCACCTTCTTTGGATCTTTAAGCAATCAAGTTCATTAAAAAAAAGTAAGAAAAATTATTGATGGAGGCTTTCTTTTTTCTCAAAGTTTCCCATCCATCATTTTTCCCAATAATCTTCAAGAGATTGTTCCAACTTGACAGGAGATCAGGTGCATTATTCTTGACAACACCAAATCAATAACAAAATTTGATCAGGATGGTATCATTGCCATTATAATGAAAACTACCTTTATTTGTTTGTGTTCATCTTAATTTAAACCTTAGTTTGGGGCACAAGGATAAGATTCATCCAAGAACTCCAATCAATGTCTACACTTTTAGCCTTCCAAGGCATTACCCACAAGGCTGACTTCTTTCTTTCAATGTCAACTATTTATCGCTAAATATTTGTTAGAGATCAGAGCAATGCTCTTCAATTATATATGTCCAAATAGAAGAGTAAGGTCATATTTCCAAGATAGAAAAAATCAAACAATGTCTTTTCTAAGGCATTTCTTGAAGGATTATTTTGAAATTTCTTAAACATTTTCACACGCTGATCCTTTAATGGATGGGTACAGTTACTAAATATAGCTTACTATAGGGGTGTCAGTTCGGGTCAATGGGGGTCAGGTTCGGGTCGAAACCGAAATTGACCCAACCCTATTTGACACGACCCGAACCCGACCTAGTTTTGTAAATGGGTCAGTTTGTTCAACCCGGGCCCGACCCATCGGGATTCTGGGTTGACCTGACCCGACACAGATTTAAGGGATATGGCTGAAGAAGTGGCACTACTTCTAGTTCCGGCGAGGCGGCGAGCTATCCCGACAAAACGACGGTACTTAGGCCGACCAAGGAACGATGTCGAAGGAGGCCATTAGGCTGGCAACGGCCTCTCTTTCGGGGTTAAGAGATGCGAGCCGCGTCACATGACTGACGTGGACTGAGCGACTCAACTCGATGCGTCGGGTTTTTTCGCGGGGAGGGCGGGGCAGCAGACCCAGAAAAAAACCAATTCCGGGTTTGTTTCAGGTCATTTTCGGGTTTCCAGGTCAACCCGAACATAACCCCAAACTCAAATTGGGTCAGCTATTCGAACCCCAACCTGACCCGTTTGCTAACCGGGTCGACCCCGACCCGAACCCAGATCTTTCTAGTTCGGGTTCGGGTCGTGTCAAAATTTGACACCCCTAGCTTACTAGATACTTTATTAGATCAAAATTTGACACCCCTAGCTTCTCATTTATTTCCATTATATTTCATGTTTTTTTATATATATGACCGGGAAGATGATTTTCTTAGTGAAGAGGTAGAGTAGAAAGGGGCTTTTGACCATTGATAATGACTACGACCCTTCCTCCAGCTGGCTTATTCGAAAAAGAACATGTCTCTTTCTTTTTCTTTTGGTTTCAGCTTTGTCCACCTAGTTGGCATCGCCAATCTGTCATTTTTTTAGACTGGGTCATGAATGTGTTACTCTGGACATTTCATTCTCAAAGGCTAGAGCTACTTGGCGGAGTGAAATTCATTCCTCTTTCTTAAGAGAATCAAGGTGAGTGTCTTCCCTTACGCTTGCCAATTGATCAAAACATAGGACCCTTAGGTTTTCACTCTGTCATCTAATCGAATACTGGAATATAGCAGTGTCATTTTGCTATCTATTTCTCTTGCACTGCGTTATACACTTGGGTCCCGTGTTTGCACTCTAAGCACATATAAGTTGGAATATCTTGCCAATCTACTTTCTCTTCGATTAGTCATAGTCATAGCCCGTGATAGGAAAGGAAGATTGAGAAGAAAAAGAAAATGAGATTACTGCGAAGTAGAAAAGATCATGAAGTCCACATGAACCCATATAGGCCGGCTTCAGGTTTCTATAGGTTTGATAAGCTGGATCAAAAAGAGTGGTAAAGTTCCTAATGACTCGTAAAGAGAATTTTACAATCTCAGTGAATTCATTCCTGCAGCATCTAAATAGAATGCAAGCTTTAGCTCCCATGCATAGACCACATACATAGAGATCATGAAAAATATTCCAGAGTATCCTAGTTTTTTCTGAAACTAGAACATGTTATGTGGATGGAATAGGACTTGACTTTCTAATGCAGGCTTCCTCCTCCTGAATGACACCCCCCCC